GTGTCGGCCCATTTTTTCCTTTTATTTATTATTTGTCTATTTATAACAAGAAATAAATTGTAACCCTGGTGCCTTATAATTGGAAAGATAATAAAAAAAAAAAAAGTTGAAGTCAAATTATATAATAAGAAAACTTGAATACTAACGACTTGTTGGTTCGAGGAAAAGAAATTCGATTCTGCTTAAATAAGATATTGAATTCGAGTCTTGTGAATAAATAAACAAACACTGAGAGAGCTTTTATCTTAATGGTATCCAACCTAACTTGATTCTGAATTAGTCATGATTCAATGTGGTTACCAGATATTAGGAGGTTAGTACAAAAAAAAAAACTTGAATAAATTAATAAGAAATCAAATTCTATTAAGGCTGGATTACAATATTTAATATATGTAAAATTGAATTACACTTTATTAAGTATATATTTTTAAAAAGTTTATTAGATATTTATTAAAAAAAATTATAAACCCATTGAATTTTTATTAATGATTTTTAAAAAAATTCAATGGGCATTTGTTCGAAAGTTTTAGAAAAAAATTTATTATTATAGCAATTTTATATATAATTAAGATAACTTGATTCCTTTATATTTGAATCCTTTTCATTTTGTTTCAAAATGGAGTTTTCCATAAGTTGCTTTAAGATGCTTGCTAAAGATGTCAATTATTATTGCTGCTAACTGCTTTCATTGTCCAAGACTAATTGATCGTTCATCCAATTGCCAGCAACCTGCAATTAATGTTCTGAAGGAAATTCAGGCATTTCTTGAAGCAAACCCATTAGAAATAGTCACCATTATCATTGAGGACTACGTTACATCACCCAGCGGCCTGACTAAAGTGTTTGATGCTGCTGGTTTGAGGAAATTCTGGTTTCCCGTTTCTCAAATGCCAAAAAATGGTGGAGATTGGCCAATAGTTGATGACATGGTCCAAAGGAATCAACGTTTGCTGGTTTTCACTTCAAAGTCACACAAGGAGGCTTCCGAAGGAATAGCATATCAATGGAGATACATGGTAGAAAACAAATGTGAGTTCTATTACCATCCTTAATTAATGAATTGAACGCGTTAATGATGCAATGAGTGAGAAGTTAACTCGGAACAAAGATAATGTTGATGCATCTTGATATAACAGATGGAAAAGGTGGAATGAAAGCTGGTTCATGCCGAAATCGTGCAGAATCTCCTGCTATGAACACAACATCAGTGTCACTGGTTTTAGTAAACTACTTTCCTGATATACCAGACTTATTTCAAGCCTGCAAGCACAATTCTGCTCCATTGATTAGCATGGTCAACACATGTTACGAAGCAGCTGGTAAACGATGGCCTAATTTCATTGCTGTCAACTTCTACATGGTATGGATGGTAGAAAACTATCTATTTTTACCGTAAACAAGAGTAGGCAAGAAACATTACCCAATTAGGCACATTTATCATTGACTCATATATAGATTAACATTACAGAGGAGTGACGGTGGGGGTGCGCCAGAGGCTATAGATGTGACGAACGGTCAACTAGTTTGTGGATGCAAAAACATTGCCCTCTGCAAGGTCTGTACCAAAAACTTGCTAATCCAGCATCTCAAACATCACTCTATCATAACAATTGTTGAGTACACCCAATCCATGCTATTCTATACAGGGATCATAAGATAGAGAGTTTCTCTATATTAAATTTCTGACTATTGTTTAATTGGTTAGTGTAGGCAAATATGACTTTTGGAGCATGTGACTTACCTGGGGCAAGCATTGCCCCAGAACCTGGATCAGCAGTACATGATTCCAATAGTGCCTATTTGAGTGGCAGACCATCTCAACCGTTTTGGTTCCTTTGCCCAGTTATAGTGATAATCCTCTCGCAACTGTAAAGCTGACGATTGACACTGAAGAGGAGCAAAAGGGTACATTTTAGTTCTAACCTTGTATTGCACAAGTGGATGATTATTCTTTAATACCTATACTAATTACACTGCTTTGAGAAGATTAGAAGGATTTGTTGATCAGGCTTCATTCATTTGGAAATTAGATATTCAGATTGGTCCAAAACTTTGGTTCATTTGCTAGTGATTTTCTGCATTTTAGTAATAGAGCTTGAAAAATCATCTTTGTTTATTAGGGGTAGTCTTGAATCTCTTAATACAAATCGTGTAATTGTAATATAAAATCTTTGTCCGTTTATGGCTGTTCAAAAAGAAAAATATATCTTTGCCTACTTAAAATATGTTCCTGTGATGTAAAAAGACTAGTATAATAGGAGGATAATTGTCAAGCATGCTGTAATTTGTATTTTCAATTTTGTCATCCATCACTTCCCACATTTAACAATTTGTTGGATTAGAATGTGGGCTGTAAGCCATTATTGTTAACAGCATATTATGAAGATAATTTGCATTCCAAACAATTTAGTGTTAAGCAAATGTTTTCAGGTTCAAGTGGGACAACTAAAAAAATAGAGGGATTAACCTTTACGTATTATAAAAGCATTAGTATAGTTATACCCAATCTATACGCTCTGAGACATCTGATTAGACTCCTTAAACAACCCGCGGGACATTTGATTACAGGACCAGTATTGTTTTTTGATGCACACACAGAAAAAAGCGCCTATTTAAATAACATTCATTGCACGGGCTGTTACATAGGGCCAGGTAATAGTAACGAACACAGCAGTTGTAAACGAGTTAATTAGTTTAATGATAATTGTGTTTTAATTAAAAAAAATTTTGAATTTAATTTACGTGATATACAAGTAATTTGAGTTGTTGAAGAGACTTATATTTTATTATATAATTTAAAATAAAAAATATATATAACAATCTTTGTTTTTGGCTAACCTCTCATATTTAAAAGTCATATTGCATGCTTATTAATCTAAAATTAAGTTGGTTCAGACTGAAAAAATAGTAATCTTGTTTAGTTGGAATAATGACTATTTAAACAATAAATAAAAAAAATATTTTATAATTTAAATAATAAAACATTAACCATTGAATGATAAATTATCCTCGACAATGAGCAAAAATTTCTTTATTTCATAATTAATATTTTGTAGTATATATGATACAATTTGAGTTACATATCTTTACACTGAAATAAACAATAAATGTAAGGCAAATTCGTGAAACTTCGAAATTAGGAATATAATACCTAACAACGCATGCTCTCTAATGCATACACTTGAATAAAAATTGCTTAAAAATAATATTAAAATTATTTTATTTAAAATAAAAGAATTAAATTAAAATTTTTTTTAAAATAAAAATATCAGAAGTTGGATTTTAAATTCAGTGGCTTGGGTGAGCTGGGCAGGCATTGAAAACACTCCACTGAGGAAAAAAAATTATATTTTTATTTTCTATTTAGAAAGAGAATAACTAATAGCAGAGTATACCATTTTTTTTGAAGATTTTGTCGTAGGACAAGCTTGAATTGTTGCCTTTGAGGGAGGGAGGTATGAACCTTATAACAATGATTGAAGTCACTTGACTCAATGGACCAAGTTTAATAGCAGAATATACTTGCACCAACCCTTTACCTTAAATGGTATCTTGTCATATTGTCGTGTATATGGGCAGGAGTACCCCTTGTGCTCTATATAATAAGATTTGTTTTTGCTGATCAAAAAAAAAAATGGTATCTTGTCATATTGTGATGCATTCCCTCTCCCCTTTACGGGTTCAAACCCGCCCTTAATAACTTGTTCAAAACAAAAAAAAAAAAATAAATAACAGAGTATACTTTGTACATGCTCTAATGAAAACACCTTTAGTATCATGATATTAGTACAAGCGCCACTGGCAAAATCATGATGTGATGTAAATTCTGTCATGACTTAATAGAAAGCAAGAATGCGTCGCTTCTAGTGATGTCAAAGTTTCATTGTGCCTGAAAATGTCAAAGTTTAATTACATATTACACTAATTTATGATTATTACATTTGTTTAATAATATATTATAATTATAAATTTATAATTTTATATAATATTATAATTATAATATTATAATAAACCTATATATAAAGGGTTAGGAGGAAATATCAAGTCATTTATTTTGACTTATTGTTCAAAAATTTATTAAAAAAGAGGGGGGGGGGGATCTAACAAGGAATCCCCCACAAAAGTAAAAGAGATTGAACTATCAAAAATCAAAAATTAAGAAAAAGAGTTCGGCCCAATCCAAATTTAGTATTGACCCATCGGCATCAAGAGCCCAGGTAGGATGACGGACTTATGGAGGAGCCCCATTTGGCAAGCAGTGGGCCTCTTCACTTTGAGAAAGGGGTAGGAAATTTGTAATTGTCGATGTCATATAAGTGAAGTATTCTTCAATTTCAATTGGCCCAAAATGCATTAGGATTTCTGTTTTTTTTTTTCTTGCATCCAATCATGATTTCGATTTATTATTATGATTATTAAAGTAATTTCGATTTTGCTTTTATAAGGGAAAGGGAAAACTTGTTGGTATGTAGAGGGGAAAACTTGTATAAACAAACATACCCAGATGGCCAAAAGCCTAAAACTCTACTTTGCGAAACAATAAAATTACTTATTATGAATTGTTCATGAGAAAATGTTGTTTTTTGGATATTTAAATTACCTTAAGAAACACGAAACTACATTCGTGGTGAGGAAACATTGCTTTTGTGATTATTATTATAGTTATTTTTGTTTAGCATTTAAAGTACTTTTAAGTTAATTTATGTATATCTTGAGATTAATCTCTCTCTCAATTTAGTTAAAGACAGATTATCTATATCAGAACTATGAAATTCATAAAAAAAAAAAAATTTTGTATTGATCTTCCCAAAAAATTGAACTTAATTAATAAGATTAATAAGGTGAAAAGTAAATCTTCTTACCAATCAAATTATAACTTATTGAGTATTGCTTTTGTGATTAAGAAACTTCATTTTAATGTATTTAAAAATGTTATTGTTGTGTCAAATATTAATTTTCCTTCATT